ATATACATGTGAACTTTCACTAATTAATGAATTTCCATGTCTTTTCCAGCTGTTTTGTTTACTTTTATTTATGAGTGAATTATTAATAAAAATTAAATTGAAAAATAAAATTCTATACTAATTATATTCGGTTTTTATATATCATATTTTATTTATATAAATATGAACTTTTTTAATTAATCAATTAATTTCCATGTCTTCTCCAGCTGTTTGATTACTTTTATTTATAAGTGAATTATTATTATTATTATTATTATTATTATTAAAATTGAAAAATAAAATTATATACTAATTGTTTTATTTTTATATATCATGTTTTATTTATCTAAATATGAACTTTTTTACTAATTAATGAATTTCCAGCTTTTCCAGCTGTTTGTGATTACTGAGTAAGGATTTTTAAAACTCATTTTATAGAGATTGCATTTGCTTAGAATTCCTTCACTTAATATTCTATTAATTCAAGGCATCTAAAGCACTATTTTAAAATGGTCTGATATTTCTAGGTGATTCGTGACTGTATAACCCTGTATTTACATCAATATATACTGTGTAAGAGCATCATTTGACACAAAGAAATACATCACAAACCATATCTGTATCAAAATGATTTTTTTTTTTACTTTGGTGTACAGTCAACATACAGGAGCACAATGTCCTTTAACAATAGAATAATTATAATAACAACAAGAATTGAAATTACAATATCAATATCAATAAAATAGTCCATTCAAATATATTCACACGGGATAACATACTGATAAATACTTGTAAGAAATAGTTCTCATGTATGGAATGCTGTTGATCTGAATTCCAGTCGGGTGATTGTCATGTTACTGACACACATGTTGCTTGTATCCTTACACAATACAGTATGCGCCCATCAGTGAAAACACACACGTTCTAGGTAAAGTCTTACAAGGGGCTAGGCCACATATTTTTGAGAAAAGAAGTCCTCCTTTGGAAAGTATTTTCTAAACCTTTGATACAGTGAATGAAAATCTAAATTACAGTGCAGAACACAGTAGAAATAAAGTGAAGTTACTCTACAATGGAAATAGTAACTGTACGTCTGTCACGATGACACGTGGGCTTGATTGTAATATATTTTCATTTTTTAAAGCAAAATAAACCGTAAAATGACAGAGAACCATGTAACATAATTGGCAATCGGTTTAAACCAATAAAATGTTTCGAATCATACCTGTAAGTCTATGCACTGAAGTTGCTAAAGACATTTAGATACCTGCCTATGTCTATTTTATGAATGTTTCTATCTTTAAATACAACAAATATGTTTTTACACCACCAAGGTGTGTATCGGATGTGTAATGCGAGAGCTTAAATCCATTTCACCTAAAATGACCTCAAGATAGCATACTGGTTTAAAGACAACTCAACACTGATTGCGTACATTGCAAAGTGCCTTTGTATTAAAACAACAGCTTTATTGTAATTAGCATTTAATCCGCAGAATATGTATATGCAACACGTATCCGATGAAATACAGCACAAAGGCACTCATTGTAACAATGAGTAAACCTGACATCTCAACTGAATGTTTTATAGCAACCGACGGTCAAGAAAAAGAAAGAAAACAAGGCATTATGCTTTACCCGAAAGGCTCATAATTCTCAACGTGAGCTGAGCCGATGTGAACAACCCTGCAGATGAAGAGTTTGCATCTTTCGCATCGCCCAATTTACAAACATCATGTGGGGTCAAAACGAAACCCGAAAACACTCTGACTGTAAGACGACTAAAACATCCCTGACATATACTTCATTGCTTAAAACTACTGGAACATTTCAGACCAATAGAAGGTCTGCGATGTTCATAATCAACGTGAGAATCACTGGGAAGGGCTTTTTAGTAACTGCAGAAACTATGAACAAAGGAGCACAAAGGAAAGCATTACTATGGAAACAATAATGGGAACGCAGAACATCATACAATCCTCTACTAAATAAATTCTCTTAAGTTGTGACTAATCACAGATAACACTTTTCAAACACTGAAAATAGAGAGGATGTGATTAAAGTCAACATGAAATGGCATTTACAAAGCATTTACTCCTGTCATGCAACATATTCCACAGCCAAATGCTGTAGTAAGTGGGTGTCGTAATAACAATATTGTTCAGAAGTTTGGGGATGGTTAGATTTTGTAATGTTTTTAAAAGAAGTCTGCATCTATTTGATCAAAAATGCAGTAAAAACTACGGATCCCCTATAGAGACATGCTGATGGGAGGAAATGCAACATTTCTCAGTGGAACGCAATACTTTTGTGAGAGAATAAAAATGTTTAATGAGAGATTGCAAATGTTTTGAGAGAAATCGCAATTGTTTTATGAGATCGCAAGTATTTTACAGTAGATGGCAAATGTTGTGCGAGAGACTGCAAATGTTGTGTGACAGATCGCAAATGTTTTGTCAGAGATCACAAATGTTTTACGAGAATGCAAATGTTTTGCGAGAAATTGCACATTTTATGAGAGAAGCAAATATTGTGTGGCATCGCAAACGTTTTACGAGAGATCGCAATTGTTTATCAAGATCGCAAATATTTTGTGAGAAATTGCACGTGTTACGAGAGACAGCAAATATTGTGCGACATCGCAAATGTTTTACGAGATCGCAAATTTTGTCACGATATTGCAATTGTTTTACAAGATCGCAAAGATTTTGTGAGGTTGCACGCTTTACAAGAGATGGCAAATATTGTGCGACATTGCAAATGTTTACGAGATGCAAATATTTTGCGAGAGATTGCACGTGTTTTTACGAGAGACGGCAAATATTGTGCGACATCGCAAATGTTTTACGAGATCGCAAATTTTGTCACGATATTGCAATTGTTTTACAAGAGATTGTAAATGTTTTACAAGATCGCAAAGATTTTGTGAGGTTTGCACGCTTTACGAGAGATGGCAAATATTGTGCGACATTGCAAATGTTTACGAGATGCAAATACTTTGCGAGAGATTGCACGTGTTACGAGAGATGGCAAATATTGTGCGACATCGCAAATGTTTTACGAGATCGCAAATTTTGTCACGATATTGCAATTGTTTTACAAGAGATTGTAAATGTTTTACAAGATCGCAAAGATTTTGTGAGGTTTGCACGCTTTACGAGAGATGGCAAATATTGTGCGACATTGCAAATGTTTACGAGATGCAAATACTTTGCGAGAGATTGCACGTGTTACGAGAGATGGCAAATATTGTGCGACATCGCAAATGTTTTACGAGATTGCAAATTTTGTCATGAAATTGCAATTGTTTTACAAGAGAATTTGCAATCTCGTAAAACATTTGCGATTGTTTTACAAGAGATTGCAAATGTTTTACAAGATCGCAAATGTTTTGTGAGGTTGCACATTTTACGAGAGACGGCAAATATTGTGCGACATTGCAATGTCATGACAAAATTTGCAATCTCTTAAAACATTTTGCATACATGAATATTTGCCATCTCTCGTAAAACGTGCAACCTCACAAAATCTTTGCGATCTTGTAAAACATTTGCAATCTCTTGTAAAACAATTGCAATTTCATGACAAAATTTGCAATCTCGTAAAACATTTACGATTGTTTTACAAGAGATTGCAAATGTTTTACAAGATCGCAAAGATTTTGTGAGGTTGCACGTTTTACGAGAGACGGCAAATATTGTGCGACATCGCAAATGTTTTACGAGATTGCAAATTTTGTCATGAAATTGCAATTGTTTTACAAGAGAATTTGCAATCTCGTAAAACATTTGCGATTGTTTTACAAGAGATTGCAAATGTTTTACAAGATCGCAAATGTTTTGTGAGGTTGCACATTTTACGAGAGACGGCAAATATTGTGCGACATTGCAATGTCATGACAAAATTTGCAATCTCTTAAAACATTTTGCATACATGAATATTTGCCATCTCTCGTAAAACGTGCAACCTCACAAAATCTTTGCGATCTTGTAAAACATTTGCAATCTCTTGTAAAACAATTGCAATTTCATGACAAAATTTGCAATCTCGTAAAACATTTACGATTGTTTTACAAGAGATTGCAAATGTTTTACAAGATCGCAAAGATTTTGTGAGGTTGCACGTTTTACGAGAGACGGCAAATATTGTGCGACATCGCAAATGTTTTACGAGATTGCAAATTTTTGCGAGAAATCAGGGGGGTTTTTTTAGAAGAGATTGCTAATATTTTCCAAAAGATGGCAAATGTACAAGAAATCACATATATTTTACGAGTTCACATGTTTTACGAGAGATCACTACTGTTTTGTGAGAGAATGCAAGGTTTCTTGATGGAACGCAATTCTTTTGCAAGAATATAATTTTTCCTCCCATCTCATATTTTCTTCCCCTGGGGCTCCATAAAAACAAAAATAATAATTAACTATTTTTACAATTAAAAACAACTGTTTTCTAAAAATATATTTGAAAATGTAATTTATTTCTGTGGTGTCAAAGCTGAATTTTCAGTCTGCATGCACAATAAGATCAGGAAGACGTGTTAAGAAAGTAAACAGGATTAATCTTGATTTCATGTTGACTTTAATGTTATATAATGAGGTTCCACTTTTACTATTAGAATCCAGCTACTAAATATTTGCATTTGTACTGCATGTACATATTAAAAAAACCAATATGAAGGGTCTTTCAATAAATGCATAATTTCCTGTAAGTGTACAGTAAAATATAGACATTTCAATTTGGGAAGGCAGCAAAACAATAATGTTCATTGCCCGAAGTTTGACGTTTAGATGTTCGACCCGTTTGCAAAAGGTCATAGTGGTATGGGGCTGAATTTTGGTCACAATCCAGACATGAGTTTCTGGATGAGATAAAAGCTAAAGCTGAGTTACCCGTTGTTTGAAATCGGTCAGTCGGTGCATCAAGGCTCTACATTCGGTTCAAGACACGCCCTGTTTTGATTTGGTTAAAGTATGAGGTGAGCACGACGTCCAGAAAGTAGAAGATTCCAGACACATTTTGGCATAAAGAAAAATCCACTGGGTTCATGCTTGATTATCATGAGGTAATCTGGCTTTGGTGAGTTACACCACATGGCAAATGATTTGGTTACAAATACAGAACTGCGTCACAATACTAATACCACCATTTTAAAGCCGAACATTTTTTTTCTTCTTTTTTTTTGGTATGAAAATAAAGGAGCTGGAAGGCTATTGCAAGTCTAACTAATAAGATGCCTGGATAGTAAGCCGCGTCATAGCAGAGTTGAGGTCCACATGTCGAGGAACACAGCACAAGCACAGAGATGATGAGCGTTTTGTTTTGACAGTTTGTCCTGTTATCTGTCTGGTTCAGTATGTCTGTCAGAGGCAGGTTTGCATCTACATCAGCTGGTCCTTTCCAACGCTTCCTGAAGTGACCAGCGCCAAAATAGCGATTTGCTCTGAGGCATTTAGTGCTACCAAACCCGTGGATCTCAAGATATTCTGAGTTTATGCAAAAAAAAACTTGGTTGGAGGTTGAACAGTCTCCTCCTCACTTGACCGTGCTGTGTGTGTTTGTGTGATACTAGAGTGTAATTGAGCACAACCATATGGTTCCAGGTTTTCTCCACAGAGATTCGAGTCAATCTCTCTACCCAGTATTTGAACAAATGTTTTGCAATAAACATCAAATATATAGTATACAAACTCATTTAAATTCAAAATGCTTTTTTTTGTTGTAATGTTGATCTTGTAGCTCAGAACTCTAGAATGAATGGGAAAATACTTCTGGAACCATTAGTTATTGTTTCCTTTTGTTTTATGTTCAGACATTGACCCATAAATTCTTGCAAGGACAGATTTTAAGCTTTTTCTACCAGTATTGCAAAACTATTAGGCTCTGATATTCTTAGTATAACTGCATGATGTGCAAAGCTATAAAGGCATATGAACAATAAAGCTATTTCCCTGAACTTAATCTTCAATCAACCCTGTGTAAACTTGCATTCATTAGTAGACCTGTAGCGCTAAGGTATATACATCTAATTTGAACGGATGAATCTCACAAATCCCATCATTTCCAGGTCATATTTCACCATAAAAACAAGAGAAAGAAATAGAAAATGATATTCTACATAAAATGCATTTTATTTAAATTTTATTACAGAATTATTTTCATGATAATCAATCATATTCCTCCCAATTCTCATTGAAATAATATTCATGATATATAATATATATCAATGATCATGATATATAATACATCTAACATTATTATTTTTATTCTTTATTATTCTTATATATATATATACAGTATATATATATATATATATATATATATATATATATATAACATTATTATTATACATATTTAATGAGAATACTACCGGTAGTATACCATTTTTGGAAGTGGAAAAAGACCGTATAATTTACAGTGAATAAGCGTAAATTGACATTCCCAGAATTCCCTGCGTTACATTTCAAATTTGATGTTTTTTTGTTGAAATAACGATGTTTCTTCTTAGTTTTTTCTGATCAGTTTTGTATATTAGGGTTGTGTGTTACACCTAATGTTGTTAAATGAATGTTTATTGCATTATTTCAGTTTCATGTGTGTTACCATGATGATGTTTAGTGTTTGTGTGAATGACGCTGTGCACCTTCTATATATGTTATTATATAAAAGCTGCTTGTGATGGGCTTTGGTTCATCGTGTGACTTTCTCATCACCTCCTGCATTTGGTGGTTATCAGTGTATTACAAAGGTACACAACAGATTTCAGTACTTCAATAGGTTGGTATATTAACATTATATCAGTTAATGAAATTACGGTATTTAACTGTAAATTTAAGTTAAAACTGTAAAACCTAAAACGTTGCTACCGTATTTTTTACGGTAAAATTCCGGCAACCACAGCTGCCGGTTATTTACCGTAAATTTTACGGATTTTTTTTTACAGTGTACAAATATTAATTATATTTGTATAATTGTAACTGTAATTATATTTGTAGGACCTCCCATAATTGATGCTCAATTTATTAAAACAAATCTTTAAAAATAATCAAAAAATTTTAAAAATAAAAATATACAGTAATCTATGAAAGGGCCAAGCAATAATAAAAAAATAAAACCATCTCGAGATCAAAGTGATTACAATGCAATATTAAACTCGCAGTTTTTTGAGAAAAAAAGTCTAAATAAAATGTTGAGAATAAACTCATTCAATTTTAAGAATAAAGTCATTTTGTTTTGAAAAAAAAAAACATTACATTTTGAGTAAAAAAGTCCAAAATAAAATGTTGAGAATAAACTCATACTTTGAGAATAAACCTGTGTTTCGAGAAAAAAAAAAAGTCCAAATAAAATGCTGAGAATAAACACACTGGTGTCGTGTTCATTTTATCTCATTGGACAGTGTTGGTCAGCGTCTGCAGTGGCGCAGGTCGTAGAGAGCGAAGCTCGTGGAAGCAGCATATGATGTAAATGACCAGCGTTCGAACTCGCTCTTCTTGCTTTTTTCATCACATCACATCGGAAAAGTGGAAATCAATTGCCTAACGAGTGTTTAATAATGATGTATTAATTGTGTAGGTTTCAGGGTAGGTAGGCTATAGGGAGGGCTTTGTTGTATCAATAAGGCAGCGTCTATTTAATAATTTTAATAAATAAAATCATTTACACTATATTAATATTGCATCCTGTTCATGTACAACAATACTGAAGTGCAAATAGTATCTGTCACTATTTATAAACATAAATAGCATCTAATTACTATTTACACTTATTGCAAAGATCTGCTACTTTTACATAGCGTTAATAGAATCGCTATTTTCACTTTGAATAGCACATTGCTAAAAATGCTGCTGTTGTCACTTAGTGTTAATAGAATATATCATTATTTTCACTTAGTGTAAATAGAATCTATGGTTATTTGCACTTATAGTGTAAACAGCATCTATTGCTATTTTCACTTTGTGCAAATAGCCACTGCCCTAAACTAAAACCATAGGGCATTGCCATTAATGGCTGTACAGATGGTTACGGTCGTTTTGTTCCATGGATGGAGGCGTACACCACCATCAACGACCCTAAAGTAATAGCCAGTTACATCATAACAACGAACTCTAGTTGATCACGTCAGAAACTACCTTCAGGAGCTCTACTCCCTTTGGACCAACACCATGAAATGTTCAAATGAACATGAAACGGATGTGTTTATTCTAAACATTTTATTTAGACTTTTTTCTCTAAATTTAATGAGGGTTTTTTCTCAAAACACAATGACTTTATTCGCGAAATTTAATGATTTTATTCTCAACATTTTATTTCAATGAACCAGTTTAATCTTGCATTATAATGACTTTAATCACAAGACGGTTATATTTTTTTTTTTATTACTTGGCCCTAATCCTCTTCTGTAGTAATCTGATAAGAATCACCATTGCATAAACAAACAAACTCAAAACATCTGGAAACATTTGAGTTATTTTGTCAGGAATTATTCAGAATTTGGCAGGAAAATGTGCATAATTAATTAAAAATAATGTCATATTTAGGGCTGCAAAGGGGCAGAAAATTTCCGGTAAATTTCCAGAAACTTTCTAGAATTTTTTGGAAATGTTTTCGCTGCTGTTCAGCCCTCATCATAATGCAAAAAATATATATAAAAATTCCTACAAACAGTCTTCATTCTCTTTAAGCAAATATGTGACCCTGGACCACAAACCAGTCACAAGGGTAATTTTTTTAAATTTAGTTTTATACAACATCTGAAAGCTGAATAAATAAGCTTTCCATTGATGTATGGATTGTTAGGATCGGACAATATTTGGCCGAGATACAACTATTTGAAAATCTGGAATCTGAGGGTGCAAAAAAATCTAAATATTGAGAAAATCGGCTTTAAAGTTGTCCAAATGAAGTTCTTAGCAATGCATATTAGTAATCAAAAATTACGTTTTTATATATTTACGGTAGGAAATTGACTAAATATCTTCATAGAACATGATCTTTACTTAATATCCTAATGATTTTTGGCATAAAAGAAAAATCTATAATTTTGACCCATACAATGTATTTTTGGCTATTGCTACAAATATACCCCAGCGACTTAACACTGCTTTTGTGCTCCAGGGTCACATATTTATTTTTTATATTAGAGTAAAATATGACATAGACATGTTTTTGTGAGATTCACCCGGAAAAAAAATTCAAGATTTCACTACAGAACAATAAAACGCACTGAAATATCTTTCAAAAACATGAATTTTAGAGTAGTGAATTTCTGCTGTGTTTTCATTGGGATTCCAATGACTGCACACTGTAGCACGTAATGTGCTTTGCACGCTTACTGTAGTGAGTCCAGTATCTGTGTGGTGAGTGTTTGCTGTGTATCGTTCGCTCTCAGTTAGCTGGTCCAAGGTCTGCCAGTGGCATAGTGTGCAGCACCTCGTCCAGCAGCTGCAGCGCCCGGTGCAAATGCACCTCCACCCAGCAGGGGGTGTGCTTGATGCTCTGCCGCGGATAGTCAGGACCCCAGCCCTTCACGAAGCTCAGGCGCAGGATGCACAGCCTCCGGAGATCATCCACACCAATCCCTGCTGCCGCTGACAGGCCTGGAAACAAACATTCCCAAAGTCAGGCTACAGAACTGAAAAAAACTATTAAGGAACTATCTGTAAATCTGATACAACTTAAAGGGGTCATATGATGTTGCTAAAAAGAACATTATTTTGTGTATTTGGTGTAATGCAATGCGTTTATGCTGTTTAAGGTTAAAAAACACATTATTTTCCACATACTGTACATTATTGTTTCTCTTCTATGCCCCGCCTTTCTGAAACACATCGATTTTTACAAAGCTCATCTGTATGAAAAAGCAAGGTGTGCGCTGATTGGTCAGCTATCCGGTGTGTTGTGATTGGCCGAATACCTCAAGCGTGTGACGGACATGTTATGTTCCTTACCATACTGTGATGGCGTCTCCCAGCAGGACGAGACAAAACCAATAAAACCCATTACAAATGAGGCATTTGTTGCATCCAGTGGGGACATAATTACTGATTATAATGACTTATACTGTCTTTTTACCTGTCGCGTTGCGTATCGCATTGCATAAACATAAAACCATGTCTGCATTTGTGATCGGAGAAATGACAAACAACAAGAGCTACTCTACACTGCCCAAAACTCGCGTTTGAATCATCAGTGGCAAATTATTTAAATATAAAAACGTACTTACAGTCTGTGAGTCAGAAGCGCCAGACTGTCCTTGCAAAGTTGGAACTGCCCAACTTTATAGAAACAGCCTTTGTGCCACAGACGCATTGTTGGCAACTGGATCAGGAAACAGTCCTCCATAAAATGCGCTGCACACATCTGAATATTTGGGTTGAACTGTTCTGGAACAGTGTTGTAAATACGACTTAACCACTGATTTCTAGTCGTGTCCTCTTTTGGAAGAACAACGAAACACAGTGCCTTCACGACATGGCGGCAGCGGCAACAACAATACTACAGCGAGATTAAAAGTTACGCCTTCT